TACGATAGCAATTAGTGATTGATGGCAGGGCATCGTTATTCAGTGCTGGTCAATCACGCACTAAGGCCGATCTAAGACATTAGCTGAACTATAAATGTTGTGCACTTTCCCTACTAATGAATGCAGTTTTCCCTTTTCTTAAAGGATTTGAACACATTTGGAATGCTTGATATAAGAGTAACTCATATCACACAATGTGCTTAAAGTAGTCACTCATCCTGCACATTCTATTATGCTACAAATCCCCCAGAGCCATTACATTACTAAACTTAGAGAGATGTAATTTTGACACAATAAGGGCATGTAAACAATGGTGGTGGGAGTTAGGTTACAGTGCTGGCTTGATACCTAGTGGCCTGGAGATTATCGGCTTGACCTCTCAGATGGAAAGTGGAGCTTGTAGTTCATCATTTTTCTGAACAAAGTTAGAAGTGGAGCTACCCAGGCATAGGTTGGCAATTGTAGTGTATCTACAGACCTATTTTCTGACTTCAGAACACTATCCCCAAAACAGAAGCAAAAAAATCAAAAGAGTTTAGATGCCTAATGTTTTTGAAAATTTGGGTATCATAAATATTAAATGGTGCACAGAGGAATCTAACCCCTTTAGAAAGGGACATTGCCACTCCTGGGGTTTTCAAAATATGGTAACTTTACTTTGACATCAAAACCAGTGAAAACCCCTGTTGGGTTGAATGGTAAAAATCAGCGGTTACTAAGACTTTTAACACCAAGTACTTCCTTTTCTTCCCCATCCATCTCTGAAGACAAATTTATGGCAAGAACTTGATATGTGAGCCAAAACTTCATGGGCACAACTCCATTATGTTACGAGCTGAAACATGAGAAGAAAAGATTCTGAACATCCTCCCCTGCCCAATTTTCCAGTAGGATTCAAATCTGGGTGCAAAAACATATGTGGGTTCATCACCGAGGCTGCATCGAATAAACAGTTAATTCCTCTTAATATCAGCAGCACTGTGATTCATAATGCAAACTGGAAGCATCCTTGATGTTTTAGTCACACATTCCTTTTAATTTGGCCATGCATTCTTTTAAAGCTACAGTGTGCTAACTTAATAAAATGCAGCATGCAAATGCACAAGTTTTTGCCTTCAGGCACTTTAGCCATGGATGTTTCAGTGGGTGTCTCCTTTCAAGTATATATTCTTTCTTAAATTATTTACCCTGTAAACACGCTTTGCATTTTCAAAGGGAGCTCTGGGTTCCCTGTCTGGGAGATTTCGCTGAATCTTTTAGGTAAAAGGAATCCAAAGTTCCAAATATTCATTAGGCTTTTTATTTTATTTTATTTTGGTGTTGGTAAGTTGGCAGCATGACTTTTTCCCTCCTCTGCAGATGATGTTGCACCCCATTTTTGCTCCTTCCCTCCCCCATTTGAAATTCCTTGTTGCTTTGCCTGGAGCAATACCCACTGGCAGTGTCTGGCTGTGACAGTACAAGAGGCCTCTTTACAGATGGGCCCTGCCAATGCCAACCATTGTTCTGCTACTGTGAGCTAGTTTGATTACGGAACAAGTGCTGCTGAAATCCCACCCAACCCCCAGCCCCCTCTGCTTTTTGTTCTCTTATTTAGTGCCCTGCCTTGTTGACTTAAGAGCCATAATGTTCCAACACTAAAATCTTAATGTTTTCATCTACTATTCCAAATCTATCACCCTTCATAGTGGACCTCTACTTGTCCAGCAACACATGACTGTGTTCCCTTCTTCTGAGCCCCAACCATAAAGGAGTAGAGTCCACTAGCATTCCTAAAGACATGTGGAGAGCATTTATTTTAGAGTTAAATATGAACTGTAATCATAATTGTGCATTATGAGCCCCAGTTATAAAGAAGTAAAGCCAATATAACTTTTCTCAAGATATGTGGAGATCATTTATTTTAGGGTTAAATATGAACTCTAATCATAATTCTGCAGAGAAGCATGTTGATAACATCCTTTGCTGTTTCATGATTAATTTGTTCTGTTCAATATTGTATTCTTCTTGCTGCAATGGGCAAGTTAATTCCGATTCCTAGAAGTTGAACTTTGATATACATATCCTACATTCATACTTTAATGGAACATTTAATTAGCAGTTACAGGTGGGGGTCTGCCATGCTTCGTCCTGATGAGGGTTTTATGGAGACGAGTTTGCAGATTAAGTAATCTTCCAATCAAGTGTGAAGGCAGAGAATTAGAAATGAAACATTTGGAGGCATATTTTTTTTCTTCTCACTTTTAATTTGGATGTGATGAAACACTAATAACTAGGTCAGATAGGAAGCGATGGCTTAAGAATCCAGCATGTTAGATGTATGCATTTGCCTTACTCTGCATTAGACGGAGCAAGTTTCATCCACAGTTAATCCTTTGTACATTAGCATTATGGATGCCTTGCGGCCTTCGTCCCACAAATAAAATGGTTGTCAGCACAGTTGTATTTGAGACATGTTGTTGTATGTTACTTGAGGGTGCTTTTTTCCTTCTTCCTTTAGAGTTTTCATGCTTTTCAATCAGGTTCTCTGCTGAATCTCAATTTCCCTGAGATCCTTTTTTAGGACCAATGTGTGTGGCTGAGTAAACGTGCACTTTGCTTTTCAAGCATTTATTTGGCCAAATACTTGGCCATCAGGTGTTGTTTTCCTAGAGAATAGCTGAAACGAAGAGGGAAAGAAAAAAAGCAGGAGCGAGGGCACTAGCTTGCTCTGAGTTCAGGTGTTAATCTCCACGGCAAACTAATAAGAAGCAGAAGCCCCTTTAATTAGCTTTAGTTTGTTAGACCATTAAACATTTTTTCCTCCAAGAGAGACAGAGAACTCCGCTCCCTTTGGCAGAGTAAATATTGCCTGTTAAGTTTGAATTAGCTGTCATCGTGGGAGAATTAATGCTGCGCTTTATCCTTTCTAGTGAGGAAGGGGAAAATAAACGAGACAGATCTTAGTTCAGCTTTAAGTGATAAATGAGGACAAAGCAGGCCATTCATCTCCTGCTAGCAAAGTGGACACAAGCACTAAAGCAGTTTTGCGGAAGACGTGTCAGCAAATGTGATCATTTTGTAACCTGTCAGGAGGATAGAGAGCTAGTCCTTTTAAAGTGTCACAGGGGAGTGTGTTTGTCTGATGTGACAGTTTTCATCCATCCATTTACCTTTTTTTTAAGGTGTTGGAGCAGTGGGGGGCCTGGTGAGAAAAGTAGGGAGGGGTCTGAAGTTGGTTAAAACTGCATCCTTCCACACTTCCACTTTCCTGGGCTCCCTTCTCTGTACATCCCAGTCCCTCCCAATGTATATATTTATTTCATACCAAAACACTGACAACTGCGAAGGCTTCCATTTGCTATAAAGGAACGCTTTGTTTGGTCAATTATCAACCATGCTAGTTTAATTCCCATGGCCCAGCCTAATAAGCCATGTTGCATCATTTTCTACAACCCATTATCTCTTTGTTTAAATGGCTTTGGAATTTATTTATTTATTAGTTTTTCCAAGAGACGGAATGAAACTTTTGTGGTTATTTTCTTCTCTCCATCCGAATCTCAGCCAAATTGTTCCTGCAATGTAATGGTTTGCATTAGTTCTCTGTAGGGAGATCAAAGTTAAAAACTACTTTAGATTAAAGCCTAGTCTCTTTTAAAAACTATATTGATTACTACCCGGTTATTCTTTCTTAAAATAAATTTCACATCACTCAAACTCCGAAAGTGATAGCTTTTATCCTGATAGACTAAGAGAGCTACATCTCTAGAAATGGTTGAATAATAAGAGATGTTATTACTTCTTGCATCTTCATATAATTACTAATTTTACCCATTTTGCTACCTACCTAGCAGCATAATGCTTGTCTTATTACCTTAACCGAGTCTATGCTGCTGAGACAAAGAAGGCTTGTAGAATGTAAGAGTCACACTTTGACACTTGCTTCTTTATAATGTATCATCCTTTCGCTCTTAACTATCTTTATACTTTTCCCTTGGTACTTGGTAAAGATAACTACCTTGCCAACATAGATTTGCCATCCTTGAAATCTTCTTTCTTAATGTGTTCAGATTAGCTAACTTTTTCTTTTAACTAGAAACCAAAATATAATTATTCAAGCAGATCCATAAGAATTTGCAATACTTTGTAGCTTTACAGCCAATTCTTTTCCTCTCTGCATAGCATGACAGTCTGGGTTTTGTTTTGTTTTTTTAATTTTCTGGGTTTCAAATCTTTATGTAAATTATGAAACTTGATACAGTAGAGTCTCACTTATCCAACCTTCGCTCATCCAACGTCTGTATTATCCAACACAGTCGGCCTCCTGCTCGGAATAATGTCCAGGGTGGGACATTATTCCGAGCAGGAGTCTGTTTTGGTGCTAAATTTGTAAATACAGTAATTACTACATAACATTACTGTGTATTGAACTTTTTCTGTCAGTTTGTTATAAAACATGATGTTTTGGTGCTTAATTTATAAAATTGTAATATAATTTGACGTTTAATGGGCTTTTCCTTAATCCCTCCTTATTATCCAATATTTTCGCTGATTCAACATTCTGCCAGCCTGTTTATGTTGGATAAGCAAGACTCTACTATACTATGCATTTAGAATACATGTTGTAAAGCCCAGTTTTACAATATGAAATTCTTGCTGGTTCAGGAACTGCCCACTAGATTCAATGCCTTCAACTATTTTTGGCTATTTTTAAAAGGAGATTGCTTCATTTCTCAGTGAAATCCCCTTTTCTTCCACATCAGTTAACCATCATTCTGTTTGGCATGGGAAGCCTTGTTGTTGTTTTTCTTTTACTGAGTAACAAGAGGTGGAGAGATGCATAATGTCACATCTAGTTTGGTCCCCAGAGACAAAAGAAATAACAAGCATACAGAAAATAACCTTACAAGCAATATATTTGTTGGTAACTTGCATGGAAAAGCAAAGACGGATGAGTTGTATCAATCTTTTATTGCCTGGTTCACTTTTACCACTTTGACTTCTTCTTTTGCTTCTCCTAGGGTCATCCAGAATCGGATCTTGGTAGTGATCTTGGGGATCATCGTCTTCTTGGCAGTCGTGATGATTGTTTATTTCACTCTTAGACCACACTGATATCTTTGTTCTTCGCTAACCAGCAACAAACCTCCAGAGTAATTAAGACAAAGTAGCCACATGAATCATTCCCTTCCATTGAAATGGTTCTCCCTCTTAAAAACCTGCAATTCAACTCTGGCACCAGTAGCATACCCGTATTTTGTCTTACTGGCTGCATGTACCGATAATATTTGTCTTTGTTTTCAAGAGTGTGACATAGAACAACTGTTCTGGGTTTCCCATATTAACATATGGAACGGACATACATAATTAAGAGGTATAAAAATTGAATGTGTCATTAGCATAATAAATTCCAGGCCAGGTTTTTAATGCTGAAAATGGTAAGACTTGACTTTTGTGGAATTAGTATTTAAATATCTGTCAGGATGGTCGTTTAGGCTCTTTAGAATAGAAGTAAGCAAATTTCAAAAACGCACTGAGAGTTACATTTTTGTGGCTGAATAGCTATCACAGCTACAACCCAGCAAAGCGATGAGCTATTGTTTCTAATAAACATATCACTCTTTGGCAGGATTGGTTGATGGCCTCGGTCCATCTATTATTGTAATATGATCATGTTTTCTGATTTTTCTAACTTTTTATCTAGCAATGTATATATTCTCATCTGCGGCAAGTCCTGGATTATGAAATCCATTTCTTTTATGGTGTTGTCCTATGATCATGTTACTATGCTGTTAATTATGCTCTGTATTATTGTGTTCCTAATGTATGTAGAGTTTGAAGCAAGAAAAGCCTGGTAAAAAAAAAAATCATATAAGAGATTCCTTCAAAGTCACTTCTGAATTCAACTGCAAAACAATTATAGGATTTAAAATTTGATGTACTGTGCTGGAATAAATATAAATGAAATTCTGTATGCAAAATGTTTTGAATGGATCCTGTCATATAAGATACCTTTTATTTAAATGAAAATTGTCTTCTCTGGTGCTTGCCTACAGGGTTGTGTCTGCCGAGGCAGGGATAGCTAGAGAAACAACTATATAAACATTTGATCTGTCCAAGGCAAGTAAGACAGCCTTCAATTTGCCTTTCTTTAGCACTGTTTCAAAGTGCTGTTATTTGTGGTCTCTGCTCTCCAGCATAGTTTACAACACCACTTTTTTAGATAATGGCTGGAATTCAGGTTGGGACATCCTGGGATGCATATATGCATGGATTTTCAATTTACAGTGGTTTCATACTCCTGTCCCCTCCATGCAGCACCTAAAGCCCCACTGTCAACCTACTTTAAAGCCCCAAAGCTGCCTCATACAGACATGCAATGCTATTCAATACAAACAGCTAGGAATGGAGAAGCATTTGGCGATCCCCCACCCCAAGCACAATAATTTCAGAAGTGCTGAGACCTTTAGAGGACCCCCACAAATCTCAGTGCTGGTGTCATCAGGTTAAAGGGGAAGTTGAGCAGACTTTTCCTAATCCTGATGACCTGGAAGCATGAGAGGAATGGCCAGAAGTCACAGCCGACACTTCTTAAAAAGGGTGTATCCTGTTCAAGGTTCACCTCTTTTATGGATAAATTTAACATGCAAATTTAAAAAAAACCAGTGCGATTCATTCTTACATTAAAATAAAATCGGAGCTGGGTGATAGGGCAACTAAAGAGCAAGAAAAGTAGTGTATCAGTGGGCACTTCTATTGAAAGACACAGTATATGAAATAGCTGTCACATTAGAACAGTGATTCTCAACCTGTGGGTCCCCAGGTGTTTTGACCTACAGCTGTTAGAATTTCTGGGAGTTTAAGGCCAAAACATCTGGGAACCCGCAGGTTGAGAACCACTGAATTAGAGTGACAATATACTCAATTTGTAGAATATGCACCACAAAATAAGAAAGCCTCAAATTACATCCAATGACTATGGTTCACTACCATGAGACCTTCCCTCCTCTGTCCCCTTTTACATGCTAATAAAAAACTGATTGGAATTTAGAGGCTCTGTAGTGAACTCTATCGGCACTGCTTTGAGCACATGCTGCAACATCCAGATTTTTGAAAAAACTAATTTACATACTTCTCAGCATCTTGGGATACTGAGAATAATAAAAAATGCATTCACCATGGAATCCTGGATAGTGCCCAACATACTTGGGATTATCTTAATTCACTTTTAATCAATAGACCCTGCAACATTTAAGTAAGGAGGGAAAAGGATGAGTAAGGATGGATAGATATAGGCCATATGAAGTGATGTCTATTCAATCTAGATTAATTAATGGCATTCTAATCTGCTTTTAAATAAATCTGGAGATTGACTTATCAATGATGTTCATTCCATTCCAGTTTTTGGTCCTTCCTTTCCCTCCTGAGAAAAACTTGTTTAATCCATGCTTGAAGCTCTGATTCCATAAGGTGGCCACCACTCCTATAAAATATTTGTGCAATAAAAATATTAAGAAAAATGATTCAAATGCGTAATAAGAACCATGATTTTACCTCTATAGGACAACAAAGGGAGCCAGGGTGGTATCATGGTTTATGCATTTGACTAGGACTTTGGGAGACCACAGTTTGAACCCTTCTCAACCATGGACACTCACTGGGTGTCTTTAGTATGTAACTCTCTCACCCTAAGAAGAAATGGCATAAATCATGCCATAAATCAGAATCAAACGCACGTTACAAAAATGTTAACTGAAGATTTTCGTAATACTTTTTTAAAGTTCATCGCATGGACTTCCTTGCAAAGATTATGAAAGCAGGATTTCTCAGCCATTGCGGAACAAACAAAACCATAAACTAAGTGGGGAAATTCAAACGATAGGCAATCATCAGAAGGTCATAAGAATCTTGTTGCTTTATCCTACCTTGAGTTTTAAAGAACACAGAGTCTCTGTTGGCTTTCATGATATCCTTATTCAAACATTAAGGAATGGAATTTGGCCCTAAACCTGTTTACCATCCAGACACAAAGAACTAAGTGAAATCTATGTTGATGTAACCAACTCAAATAAAACTTGTATAGCTTTTTGAAGAAATTCAAGATGAGGAGATTCACCAGAGAAATGCTGTTTATTGAAAAAGGTTAGGGCACGCATGTCTTCAGATAAATCATTTAAGTTGTGTAAACAGAACAGTAGCCTTTACCATCTTAATAATAGGGAAGGACTGAGTTCATGGGATCTGGGCAAATGGGGATGAGGAAGAAGCCTGCCAGTGTTGAAATTATGTATCAAAGCAGGTCAGAAGATGTGCATTTTCATGAATCCTTTGTTCTGATGACAACAACTGTAAATATAAACCTGAACGAAAAGAAATATTAAACTCTGTTAGTTCACTTGTTATTTGTTATGGTTTGCTATTTATATCTCTCAACTCTAGTCGTGAAGTTTGTGGTAATTCTGACTTGCCTTATGTCCCAACTATATCACCCATCATAATCGCGAGATGCTTTTTTGTTAATTGCTGTCTAGTATTCCAAAACCTAACCACAAAATCACACCTCAACATATCCATTCAGGGATGCCAAACAATTATATGCTGTATTGTAAATGGCACAAATCTTTTTTTTTAAATTATATCCTTTGATTTTTCCTTCCCCTAGCACTTCTCCCCTAGCACTGGAGTTATGACTTGCTATCAAAATGCCATCTGCATAATATTCTGATAAATTAGTTCCTATTGCATAAACTTTTTTGTTTTACACACAAATGCACCGACTTCTGCTCTTTTTCTCTGAAATGCTAACGATCACACAATCAGCAACACAATCAGAATCATTCAGTGAAATGAATTTGCAAATAACATTGAGGTTAGGTTGTTCCAGCTTTTAAGATACTGACTACATAAACATGGAAGCACTGGATGAGACAAGCTACGGTTTGCACAATGTATAAATGGGGTAGGCATATACCCATATTCCTACATAGATGTCTATTTTGAAAATGCTCATGGGAGCCCCCGGTGGCACAGTGGGTTAAACTGCTGAGCTGCTAAACTTGTTGACCGAAAGGTCACAGTTACAAATCTGTGGGGGGGGGGAGTGTGAGCTTCCACTGTCAGCCCCAGCTTCTGCCAACCTAGCAGTTCAGAAATGTGAAAATGTGAGTAGATCAATAGGTACTGCTCTGGCAGGAAGGTAACAGCACTCCATGAAGTTATGCTGGCCACATGACCTTGGAGGTGTCTATGGACAACACCGGCTCTTCGGCTTAGAAATGGAGATGAGCACCAGCCCCCAGAGTCAGACACGACTGGTTTTAATGTCAGGGGAAAACCTTTACCTTTCATAGAAATAACGCTGCTTCACATGACTGACCTATTTGTAGATGACAGTCGTGAATCCATGTGGCCCCCTGACTGTTACTGGACTGCAGCTCCCAGCATTCCTCACCATCATGCATACTGGCAAGGACTGCAAGGATATTCTAGCAACATTTGGAGACACACATGCTTCCCATCCATGCCCTCAGGCATTGGATTCAAGAATGAACAAGCTTTCCAGGTGTTTACTAGATAACAGATGGTTTGGCTATGCATTGAGTGTAAGCACTTTGACATGTAATGCAGGTTGAATATCCTTTATCCAGAAGGCTCAAGACAGGAATATTTTGGATTTCAGATTTTTCCAGATTTTGGAATACCTGTACAATGTATAATGAGATATCTTGGAGATGAGATCCAAGTCTAAACATAAATGTGATTGATGTTTGTTTCATATACATTTTATACACCTAGCCTGAAGATAATTTTATATAATATTTTAGTAATGTGCATGAAACAGTGTGTATGTTGTATATATTGAACCAGTAGAAAACAGAATTGTCACTTTCAATCACCCATGTGGACAAATTTGGATTTGAGAATACTTTGAAATTCCAGATAAAGAATGCTCAACCTGTAATAATTTTTAAAGCATGCACTTTGTGATAGCCATGCCTACATTCAGAATAATTCTGTATTCCATTGGTTTGATGTGAGTTTTTCGGGCTGTATGACCATGTTCCAGAAGCATTCTCTCCTGATGTTTTCCCCACATCTATGGCAGGCATCCTCAGAGGTTATGAGGTCTGTTGGAAACTAGGCCAGTGAGGTCTATATATCTGTGGAATGTCCAGGGCGGGAGAAAGAACTCTTGTTTGTTTGAGGTAAGTGTGACTGTTTCAATTGGCCACCTTGATTAGCATTTAATGGCCTAGCAGTTTCCAGGTCTGGCTTCTTATTGCCTGAGGGAATCCTTTGTTGGGAGGTGATTAGCTGGCCCTGATAGTTTCTTGTCTGCAATTCCCCTGTTTTGGAGTGTTGTTCTTTATTAACTGTTTAGATTTTAGAGGTTTTTTTAATACTGGTAGCCCGATTTTGTTCATTTTCATGGTTTCCTCCTTTCTGTTGAAATTGAAATAGATATATAAACCCCTTTTTACTAGTTTCCAACAGACCTCACAACCTCTGAGGATGCCTGCCATAGATGCAGGCAAAACGTCAGGAGAGAATTGTCCTGGAACATGGCCATACAGCCTGGAAAACACAAAACAAACCAGTGATTCTGGCCACAAAAGCCTTCAACAATACTCATTATTTGTTTATCTGAGAAATCCGCATATATTACAGATTGTCATCTTTCTATTTATGCCCTATGTTGGACAGATTTTCTGCTCCAATATGAGTTTTTAGGATTAGTGTGGCCCGGATACTTAGGATGAATCTGGTGCTTCCACACCTGCGCTAAATACAAGTAAAAGAACAAACACTGCCATTTCCATCAGAGCTCAGCTTCTGACTTCAACTGAACTCATTTGTCACATCTTTAGGAGGTCGATGAATGAATCAAATGCATCCAAATGTAGCCATCAAAAAGTAAAGTGTTCTAACATTCCAAAGCCTTTTATTGAATTATGACAAATTACAGCACGTACATTAACAG